GACGCATTTATTTATGTATTTATTATTATGATTATGATTTTTTTATATGTCTCTTAATTATATGCAAATAGAAAAGCTTTTTCCGTGTCATCATTCCTCAACAGATAAGATTGGTGAGAGAGGATATGCAGATATGATGATAGGTTATAAAATGGGATTATTTCATAGATTACTTACTTTAACTGCAATAAGTTACATTAACTTTAAACGTTTTTAGGTTTAACAAATGTAAAGCTTAGACTAAGATTATTTTCTTTCTCATTATTATTAGTGGTTTTGAGTTTGTCAATCTACAATCTCTCCAAATTTCAGTTTCTTCCTGTATAGTCATCAGTCTGGTTAGCTTAATATCAGTTTTTTATTTTTAATTTTGTAAATTATTTCATGAGTTTTTATGGTTGATTAATGAATTTGATTTCTTTATAATTTTCTCATTGTTTTCCTTTTTTATTATATCCTGAGTTATCCAAATATTGTACCTCTTATATTATTAGCCATTTCTTTGTTTATTATTAAAAAACCCTATATAGTAACGAATGTAAACATTATGTAAATTTATAACTTATATCTAAAAAAATAAATGAAGAAGTTTAATAAATGTGTATAGTATGAAATTAACAATTAAATATTTTTTGTTTTATTAAAAAAATACTCGAATTGAGTGGGGGTTTTTTTTGGGTCATTATAATATTGTGAAAAATATTTACAATCAAAACTACACCCATCATTTATATTACAACCATTAAAATGTGCATTGCGCCGAGAAGAAATATCTGTCTAACGATGATGTCATCGGACTGAGCAAGTCTAAAAAACAAGTAAAGAAGTGTCAGTTTGCGGAGGTTTCCGGAATAAAACACAGGCTTTATAATTGTTTGGAGGACCATTGAAATGGAATCGAACGAAATTAATGTCAATCATTTGTATGAAAGCTAGCAAAAAATATAGATCTTGTCAGAAAATCCAATACACGTTATTCTTAGGTACCATTTAGCACGTTATGCACTAATTCGTCCAAATCGGACCAGTTTTAGTTATTTGGTACACCATTCAGATGAAATCGGATGAAAATATATATGGAAGCTATATCTAAACCTGAAACGACTTCAATCTAATACGCTATGCAATATTTCATGTAAAGCGAACAGACATAGGCTCCTTCATTTGCATAAAATAGGAAAAATATGTGTCGGAGCTATATCTACATCTGAACCGCTTTAAACAACAAAGTATCGTGCAAATGGGACAGGTGCACCTTTAAATCTGAACCGATTTCAAACTTAACAAAAAAAAACATTCTAGACTAAAGCCACACCCGCCTCCTCGGTGTACCATTTTCATAAAATCGGACAAAATTATATATATAGCATTTCCACATTAAATGAAACCTTTTACAAATTAAATGAACCCTTTTCCAAATTAAATGAAACCTTTTCCAAATTAAATGAAACCTTTTCCAAATTAAATGAAACCTTTTCCACTTGAAATGAAACCTTTTACAAATAGAATAAAACCTTTTCCAATTGAAATGAAACCTTTTACAAATAGAATGAAACTTTTTCCAAATTAAATGAAACCTTTATTCTTATCTAAGGAAATATAATATTTGCACTAATTTTAAACCCATATTTGAAAATTAAATCAAATAATATTAAAAAATATAGTTGTATGGCTATGTAATTAACATAAATATTCTTTAATTCGGTGTGATTTCATTTAATATCTTTACTAAATAAAACTAAAAAAATAGTAATACAAACTGGGGCATTTCTTGACATTTTAATAAATAAATATGTAAGAACAAGAATTGAATACCCGGTCCTAAATGCGAAATACATATTTGACTTAATAAATTGTTGATGATAAGGTAACTGTTTATCTTAATGAAGGGGTTCCTGAACAATCTTGCCGAGTAAGCTTTTGAATACTTCGCTCGATTACATCAACAATGTTATGTTCCATTGAAACGTCACACAGCTCAGCTCTTGCACATAATTTTATTTTTGAAAATGCATTTTCGATTGGATTTAGCATTGGAGAATAAGGCGGTAAGAATTTAAGGTTGCATCTTTTGGATTCGATCAAATTTTTTATGTCATGTCGCTTGTGTATTTGAGCGTTATTTTCCAACTCTGGATTTATTTTCTCAAAAAAAAAAAATTTCTATAAATAATTTAAATCTGTCTGCATTGACACTGGAATTAGAAACGATTGTGTGATGTACAACTCCCGCGTTGCATAGAATATGGATTACGGAAATTAAAAATTACGTTTAAGATGGCCTCTATTGAAATAGAACGAAAGAATGACTCCAGAACATTAGGCTTGAGACAAAAATATGTTCAAGACTTTACAACATGGATACCCCAACAAGGAGAAAAATTTATATTCATTGATGAGTGTGGATTTAATCTTCACATACGAAGAACCCAAGCCCGTTCAAGACAAGGAACAAGAGCACACATTGTGTTGCCTACGGTCAGAGGTCGTAATGTCACTATAATTGCAGCAATAAACAACGCGAAAGTTGTACATCACACAATCGTTTCTAATTCCAGTGTCAATGCAGACAGATTTAAATTATTTATAGAAATTTTTTTTTTGAGAAAATCAATCCAGAGTTGGAAAATAACGCTCGAATACACAAGCGATATGACATAAAAAAGTTGATCAAATCCAAAAGATGCAACCTTCAATTCTAACCGCCAATGCTAAATCAAATCGAAAAAGCATTTTCGAAAATAAAATTATGTGCAAGAGCTGAGCTGTGTGACGTTTCAATGGAACATAACATTGTTGATGTAATCGAGCGAAGTATTCAAAAACTTACTCGGCAAGATTGTTTTAACTTCGTTATGGACATGGTTTTGAAAATCCCACATGCTGCAAGTCGGGAACCCCTTCATTAAGATAAGCTGTTACCTTATCATCAACAATTTATTAAGTCAAATATGTATTTCGCATTTAGGACCGGGTATTCAATTCTTGTTCTTAAATATTTATTTATTAAAATGTCAAGAAATACCCCAGTTTGTATTACTATTGATTTAGTTTTATGTAGTAAAGATATTAAATGAAATCACACCGAATTAAAGAATATTTATGTTAATTACATAGCCATACAACTATATTTGTTAATATTCTTTGATTTAATTTTCAAATATTGGTTTAAAATTAGTGCAAATATTATATTTCCTTAGATAAGAATAAAGGTTTCATTTAATTTGGAAAAAGTTTCATTCTATTTGTAAAAGGTTTCATTTCAATTGGAAAAGGTTTCATTCTATTTGTAAAAGGTTTCATTTCAAGTGGAAAAGGTTTCATTTTATTTGGAAAATGTTTCATTTAATTTGGAAAAGGGTTCATTTAATTTGGAAAAGGGTTCATTTAATTTGTAAAAGGTTTCATTTAATGTGGAAATGCTATATATATATATATATATATATGGGAGCTATATCTAAATCAGAACCTATGTAGTAGCTTTAATTTTGTCTCAATCGGACAAACATTGGCAGTATGGTGCTACATTTACATAAAATCGGACGAAACTATATATGGGAGCTATATCTAAATCTGAACCGATTTTAACAAAACTTTGCAGACATCAATCTGGACCTAATACAGTACTCTGTGCAAAATTTTGTTTCAACAGGGAGTTTGGTGCACCATTTTCATAAAATCGGATGTGATTATATATTGGAGCTATACCTATATCTGACCCGATTTTCTCGAAACTTGACAAACGCCATTCTAGACTCAATTCGTGCAATTCGAAAGATATATAGGAACTTTAGTGCATCATTCACATAAAATCGGACGAAAATATATATGGGAGCTATACCTATAACTGAACCGATTTTCACGAAACTTAGCACACATCATTCTAGATCTAGTTTAGTACGCCATGCCAAATTTCGTGCAAATTGAAAGAACCGATTTTCTCCAATTTCAATAGAGTTCGTCTTTGGGCCAAATAAGTGACCTCTGCCAAATTTTATCCAAATTGGATCATAAATGCGATCTGTACTTTGCTCACAAAAATACATGGACGGTCGGACGGACAGACGAGCATGCATAAATCGACTCAGAAAGTCTTTGCATATTCTCAAAAGGGACCATGGGTCTATCCAGATTCCTTTTGCTTTTTACAAACATATGCATCAGTTGAATTGAAGTTAGAATTATGAACTTAGGACCTGTAACTAAATGACGGTCTTAAACGACGGTGGGGCCTTAGAGCTACCACTCTTGACTACTTTGCCTACATACCTCTGAAACCCTGGCTTATCGATACTGTCGCAGCAGAGAGGGCAGTTTCTCCAATAGATATGTCGATACCTTTTTGTATTGGGTGATGACCCTTTCTGACTTGGAATTAAAGACTTCCGGTCTAAGACAGAAGCTGATATATTTCTCAATATGGTGAAGGAGTGTTTCGTTCTGTCTGGTAATGCCCATCGTTAATATTATTCAGTAGTAAGTTTGCACCACCCTCAGTGCAGTCCTGTACGTTAAGCGTGGTCTTGTAATATGTGACTAAGAGTCCGTATCTGAATTTTGCATCAATATGTTTACTGGCATTGAAAACTAGATGGTCCAACCGTTTTGAGTTGAAGATTTTTTTTTTTTGTGTTTTAGGGAATTTTGTTTAAAGTTTTCGAAATTCGGCCAGAGCAAAGCCTCTTTACAATGGCAAGGTCACAGTAACTGAAACTAATACTAGTTGAGGTGCCCGCCCTCTGTTCGAATACATTCGGCACCCTTTAACGCTGATAAGCACAATATGACGTAACACCCCAGTCTTAGAAGTCGTGGACCTTAAACCTGGTTTTCTCACCTGACCGAGTTTTTAGTAACAAAAAAAAACAACAACATTTAATAACGAAGAATTAAAATAATTGTTCATTATTACGTATTTTTTAAAACAAACAATGGTTCTTCCTTAATACTATTTACAGCTACATCTTATAGACAGTAGAAAAACAACATCATCATCCATCTTATACCAAATTATTTTGAATATAGTCTTTTAATTCTTCGCGTAATAAAAATGCTTTCGATGATGAACGATTTGCCGATGGTGACGGATATGTTGGAAGATATCCGTTTTCTTCTCTCCATTTTCCAGAAATTTCTTGATCAACGCTTTGATGATCAACCAGATCTGTAGTAAAATAATTACTATCCTTTTTTGTCATTAGAAAATTATGTAGGGCCACCGTAGCTAAAATATGTTTTTCTGCAGTTTCAGGATTTAAATTAATTTTTGTGTGCAATACATTCCATCGATTGGCCAGAATTCCAAAGGCATTTTCCAAAAGTCCCTGAACGTTGGATAGCATTGCATTGAAAATCTCTTTGTCTTGTGTTAAATTATTTCCCGGATATGGTCGCATTAAATTCTCTTTCAATGGAAATGTGTGATCGCCAACAAAATAATAGGGGAACATTTTCGTTGATCCGGGTAGGATTTCATTGGCCGGAATATCTAAAGTGTTATCCAATAATTGTTTGCCAAATTCACATTGTGCCAGTATGCCTTCCTCATTTTCATTACTTAATGTACAGACATGTGTGTGTGTAAACACGTAATTGGCATCACAAATTGTCAAAAGTATAATACTTAGGGTTTTCTTGGAATTGGCATTATTCGAACAAGGTATGCGTATATCCTTTGCGCCAATGACACCTAGACAATTCGGCAAACCAGCTGTGTCATAAAACTCATTGGCGATTACTTTAAATTCACGTTTGTTGGGTGGCAACATATAGACCGGGTATAGACCATTCCAAATATCGTCACATGTCTCAGCGATTATTTTACGAACCGTTGAAATTCCCATATTGTAGACGGAGGCTAGAACTTGAACACTGCAATCATTTGCCAAATAACTAAAAATATTCAAATTTAAAATATTAAAAATAAAAATTATTTAAAAAATTACTTAAGTGTTTACTTACGTTACAGTTACTGCCAAACGTGTCTCAGCCCCAATAGGTTTTCGGTTTGAAAATCTATCCAATTTATCTTCTAGCAGTGCAAACAATAAATTGTAATTTTCGACGGTCATTCTTGTGGCCTTGTAGAAATGATCTTTGTTCCTCTCCTTAATATATCGGGCACAGGCCGTATAAAATTTTTCATCGTCACTGGATATTTTTATATCACGACTTTTATTTAATTTCTTTTCGTCAGCCATGATTTTATACTAAAAAAATAATATCCGTTATCCACTTCTTGTGGCTAATCACCTAGGAAGAGATTTCATTGCAGATAACGTATTTTAAAAAGCATTTAATGTATGGGTATGGGTAAATTAGTGTTGGCGCGTTATTTGGGATACCATTTGTATTTGGCTGTTGCAAAATAGTCAGGCTGAATCCAAGTTTGTTGTTTTTATAAAAAAAATACTATTAATTAGTGGGAAATGTATGGCATTGTCCGCCGAGGGGTAAGACAGGGAAGACTATAGTTTCGGATCTCGCCACTGATCCTCAACAGTTCCCTTAGTTTTTTGGGAACAAATGCACTTTACGGACACCTCTCAGATAATTTTGAAATTTTTACCATAGGTAGCCCTTCTGATGCTGATTACAGCAACATACATTTTTTCGGGGGGAAATCAGTACTTCCCGAGATATGCCGAAGGCCGGCGATTTAAGACTTTCTCCTATGAACAGATGGAAAATTGGGCTACGCGAGCAGAATTCTCTTTTAATTTAAATTTTTTTCTAAATAGCCGGCCTTCGGCCGGGGATTTAAGACTTTCTTCTATGGACAGGTGAAAAATTGGGCTACGCGAGCGTAGCCCAAGTACTGATTTCCCCCCGAAAAAACGTATGTTATTGTAATCAGCATCAGAAGGGCTACCTATGATAAAAATTTCAAAATGATCTGAGAGGTGTCCGTAAAGTGCATTTAAGCCAAGAAGGGGAAGGCCATGAATTCGATCAAGTGTAAGATGACATATCAAAACAAGTCATTTAAAATTGGAAAAACTTCGTGTTGGTAGCAAATCTATCTCTGTGTGTAATTATCTTCAAGGCAGTGGATATAGCCCTGTACTTTTTATACAGCGGAGTTACAGTACCGGCCACATAATTAGCACACACCTGAAGAAAAAAGTGTTTTGAATAACACTTGATTCGTTTACAATATGTTTAAATAATTTTTTATTCAAAACGCTAATGTGTACTAAGGACTAATGAAAAGACGCGGTCAACACTATATACAATCTCTGCGTGTTTCTGAGAATAAGCATCATGTTTACGAATGATAGACAAGAGTTAGAAGATAATAACAGCTGATATTCAAATGAGTTTGCAAAGGAGGATCACATTGTATGATATTTTAGTACACGTGATTTTTTTCCAATTAACTCCTCTCCTCCTTGGCTCACGTCCTATTTGGTGTTACAATGTTGAGAGACATGTCTCTACACGTGTTTTTTTATTGTCTGGATCGTCTACGTCAAACGCAAATAAAATAAATTATGTGTACTAAGGACTAATCAAAAAGACGCGGTCAACACTATATATAATCTCTGCGTGTTTCTGAGAATAGGCATCATGTTTACGAATGATAGACAAGAGTTAGAAGATAATAACAGCTGATATTCATATGAGAGTTTGCAAAGGAGAATCACATTATATGATATTTTAGTACACGTGATTTTTTAATTGTCTGGATCGTCTACGTCAAACGCAAATAAAATAATAGACTTGTTCCCGGGAAAATCAAAAACAATTTCGATTAAGGAGTTATGGTCACTCGCAATTCTTAAAAAAATCGGATTTATTTTATTGACTCAATTTGAAATATTGGTAGAATCATGGCCTAATAAGAAGGTCGTCTGATTTCACCCGAGATGTCAAAATGTTTTAAATTTTGACTTAATCGTGTGAAAACATAAACAAGAAATTTGACAGTTTGGGGGATTTTCTACCAAAATGGCCGATAATATTCGCTTCTTACAAGACCTGTTTAATGGTCCATGCGGTTCCGTTCCAGAACCTAAAATAATCTACTAATTTTACAAGTTTTGTAACTTTTTACTCGTAACCCGTTCCTGAACCCACAAAAATATACCTAACAAAATGGCTTTTTACTCGAAAAATTTGTCTGAGTAAAAATGGTAAACAGGAATGCCAACTTCTGATTGGCTGTTAAGGTATGTTTAGATTTACGAAATCTATTCGATCTCAAATGTCAATTCCATTTCGTATACGTCAAATTTAACCCAATAGATTTGTGAACAGGAAGACACGTTTAGATTTACGAAATCCACTCGATCTCAAATGTAAATTCCATAGCGTATACGTCAAATATAATTCACTGGATTCCACTGGAACATATCCAAAAAAGTACTTTAATGCACCAAACATAAAACAGCAAAATATTTTTTTAGGTAGGGCACAGCTACCAACTCAAGCCACCTTGTTCCATCAAATCAAAATACATATTTTGTGTATGTGTGTGTATTGTTTTGAATACAATGTCAAATATATTCAAAATAAATTGAAATATATTCAAATTAATTGAAATGAAAATGATGTTTTTAACACGTTCGTCTGGAAGTAATTACTTTGTTATGGATGAAACAAACATTTGATGGTATTCCCTACTGGATTTTGGGAAGAAATCATGACCTTTCATTTAAAAAAAAAAACGCCAACCTAATATATTTGGTAGAGTTGCCACTGTATTAATTATTTTGCTCACCATCGGCGTTGTTTACACAAACATCGACGACGGCAGACAGTGGCTTTACATTCTTTTTGAGTCGATTAGTCGAAAGTCGATTTACTTATCCCTAGTGTAGTGTGTGTTTGTGTTTTGAGTCCGACTTAAATCTAAATCGAATTTGTAAATAATTTAAATAATTAATGATTTTAGAAAAAATATTATGAAATATTTGTAATTGTCGGTACATATCAATTCGCCTACAATGAAGTTGTATGAAATATATACCCTTATGGGTATAATAACAGCAGGTAAATCACAAACAAAAAAACGCCACAGAATATTTCTAAGCCACACCCCTGGCTTTAAGCAACATTTCATGCCAAGCAATGGCCAAAAAGAACAACAACAGCGTGCTGTTGATTCATTTTTTTTTTTTTTTTTTTTTTTTTATCGTACGTTCCCACGCCTCACTTTCCCACCCCTGCCGACCGAGGGGGCGACCTCCCCTTTCGTAGGGATCGCGTACGCATCATAATCCGCATTATGATGGAATATGAGAAGGGATAGAAAACCAGCTACAGAAATCTACTTCAACAGCCAGTTTGTTATTAAGTTGTATTATTCATTTAAAAATATGATTATATTAGATTTTATTAGGTCTATATTCATGCAAAAGTCTACGTTAGAATACACAGAATTGAAATCAATACACATTTTACTAAGTGGATCTCCCATAGAATAATTTGTGCGATGAAAATCTACGTATAATGGTTGATAATATCTACTTGATCGAAAAGGAACATTTATTCTAATGGATGAAATTAGGAAGTCTGAGGGTATATTACCGCTTAGTATTTTAATTACTATCATAGTGTTCAACATAATACGTCTACTTTTTAATGTTGGCAATCGAATTAATTTTAACCTGCTAGTGTAAGAAGGCAACACAAAGTCACTATTCCAATGTAAACCTCTCAGCGCAAAAATTAGAAATTGTTTCTGCACTGATTCAATTTTATCGGAATAAATTGTATATTGGGGATCCCATACAACAGAACCATATTCTAATATGGGTCGCACAAGAGATGTAAAAAGTTGTTTTGTAATGTAGGGATCAGAGAATTCTTTAGCCCATCGTTTTATAAATCCTAAGACACCGTGGGCTTTGTTTACCATAGAAATAACATGATTATTAAAATTTAATTTTGGATCCATTAAAATACCAAGATCAACAAATGAATCAACAGTTGATAAAACAGTACCATTAATATTGTATTGCCTTGTTAAAGTAGAAGATCTGGAAAAACACATATGCTTACATTTGTTTAGGTTTAAATCCATACAGTTTAATTCGCACCATTGAAAAAGGTTATTTAAATCATTTTGAAGTAAATCAGCTTGCTTCATGGAGTTATGGGTAATAAACAACTTGACATCGTCAGCATACATTAGCAATTTGGAGTGGATTATTGCATTTGGTAAATCATTTATAAATAGAAGAAAGAGGAGTGGACCTAAATGACTTCCTTGGGGAACGCCGGAAGGAACATTAATGGATTTGGAGAGACAATCATCAAACAAAACTACCTGTGATCTATTTCTCAAATAAGATGATATCCATTTAACTAAATTTATACTGAAACCAATTTGATTTAATTTATATATTAAAAGTTCATGGTTAACCCTGTCAAAAGCTTTACTGAAGTCAGTGTAAATCGTGTCGGTTTGATTACGCTGAATAAAACCTTTTATGACGGTTGAGGAAAATTGAATAAGATTGGTAATAGTTGAGAGGCCACTACGAAAACCATGTTGATATGGGCTTAAGATTGGCTGAACTTTATGAGAAATTATATCAGTAATCAGTTTTTCGAATAATTTTGGAATTGCACTTAATTTAGCAATTCCTCTATAATTCGAGACATTAGTTAAGCTACCAGATTTGTGTAAAGGAACTATATAGGATTTCTTCCAGAAGGTCGGAAAATGACTATATTTCAGGGAATAATTAAACAATAGCGTTAAAGGGATAGCTAATGTATCTGAACAGTACTTTAGAATTATGCTAGGAATGCCATCCGGACCTGGACTTTTAATTGATCTTAAATTACGTAGATTTTTAGAAACATATTGACTTTGTAAAAAAGGCATAGATATTTGATCTATCGTCGATAATTTATAACTATATGTATCTTTATTTGGACAGGGTGAATATGAATATGTTGTAGCGAAAAAATTTGCAAAGCACTCTGAAATTTCAGAGTTTTTCTCAAATGTCTGATTATTGAATTTCAAGATGGTGGGCTTTGACGTAGCTTTTCTTTTTATATTAACAAAGTCATAAAAAGATTTAGGATTGGATTTGAAATTAAGTTTAATCTTGTTTAAATAAAGATTGTAAAGTTTTCGGGACTCTGACGTATATTTAGACCTTGCGACAGCATATTTAGCATAATCTATAGAGGAGCCTGATTTTTTATATTTTTTAAAAAGTTTATTTTTATAATTTTTAAT